ATTCATCTTCCACTGTTCCAAAAATTATATCCATGCCAATTTTTATTTGGTTATTATTTAACTGCTGTCGTGTATTTGGAGGTTCGGGCAAAACCACTACCCCCTCGCTTCAAGTCTGAAGAGCTCCCCAAATGCCCTCACCTGAAATGGGACGCACTGGAACAGGTCTTTCTCGGAGACCTCTTGTGTTAGGAGGGTCCTGTTCTGCAGGCCGTATTCCAGGGTGATGCTCAGGGATACTGACTCGTTCAGGTGGCTCAGCTGGACGCAGATCTTCTTGGGGGTTTCCGTGGGGACAACAACAGGCACCAGGACCAGGTATTGCCTGGAGAGGGAAAAACAGCACCAGTCAGAGGACCAGAGAGTGAAGACAGACATCCCGCCCCATGAGCGGCACCTCCCATGGTTTAATATCAAAGGGAATTGCCCAAGATGTGTTGCATTTTATCTGCTTAATAAATAAATATACAATACTTACTAATGTGGGTTTTTATATTTCTTTTCTTTTTATCTGTCTTTTTATCTGATTTTTGTATGCCACCCTGAGTTGCTTCAGTGAGATGGGCAGCTATATAAATTTGCTAAATAAATAAATGAATTTGTTTTTAGGAGGCAGCTCTGTATTTTGCATCAATAAGGTACGCTCTATTTTTTTTCCTGAAAAAGGATGTTCAAAATGTACAAATAGTCCTTGTTTAGCGACTGCCTCATTTAGCGACCGTTTGCAGTTATGATGGTGATGAAAAGTCATTTTGCAACCAGTCCTCGCATTTATGACCTTTGCAGGCCTGTAAAGTGAAGGAAAGCTGAGGTCAGATCGTGAGCCCGGTTGCGGTTTCACTTAGCGATCGCTTCACTTAACGGCTAAGTTGCCAGTCCCAGTTGTGGTGGCTAAACAAGGACTACCTATATTAAACTAAATTTAATTTCATAATATCCTCTATTAGGTTGGTAGTTATTCCAGAGGAGGGAGGGAGGGAGGGAGGGAGGGAGGGAGGAAGGAAGGAAGGAAGGAAGGAAGGAAG